ACAATGTTTCATTATACAAATATGCCACATTTCACCTATTCATTCGTCAGTTGATGAACAGTGGGTTGTCTCCACTTTCTATTATGAATAATGCTGCTATGAACATTCATGTACACATATAAATGTTTGTTTTCATTCTCTTGGGTATAAATTTAGGAGTGGAATTGCTGAGTCACATGATTACACTACATTTAATCTTTGAAGTAAATTCCAGTCTGTGTTCCAAAGAGGCTGCACCATTTTATACTCCCACCATCAGTGTGTGAGGGTTCCAATTTTTCCACATCCTTGTCAACTCTTATTAATTTTTATTAAATTGATAATAAGCTTCATCATTGGAGGGTGTTTTCCAGGGAATTCTCTAAATTTGATCTTTGCTCAGAAGTAATTTCTTAATTTTAGCATATCCTATTGTCTTGATGAGACTATCTCCAAAACCATCAAGCCCTGGATCCTTTTTGTTTAATGGTCTTTCCTATAGTTTTTAAATCTCTCCTCCTATTTTACTGTAATCGAGAAGCCAGATGGCACCCTCCACACTCTGCCAGGAAATCTCTCTAGTGAGATCATATCAGGCACATGTTTTAATTTCAGTCTGCCACTACGTAAGTTCTTCCTTCCTCTGGTTTTCCAATAACACTTACCTTACTTTTCTAGAAGTCCTCATCTACAGCCTTGTCAAAAACTATGATGCTTCTACAACTAGTTTCTTCAAAGCACTTTAGGTTTTTACCAGCACATGCCTATTTAATACCCACTGCCAAGTTCCAAATCCACTCCCGTATTTTGGGTTTTCATTATGGCAACTCACCTCTAAGTACCAAGTTCTGTATTAGTTATCTATTGCTCCATAATAAATTACCCTAAAACCTACTGGCTAACACACTCACTAACCCAGAGTTTCTGAGGGTGAAGAAGCCAGAAGTGAGTGGTTTAGCTAGGTCTTTCTGGCTCAGTGTCTCACATGAGGTTATGGGCACGTAGTTGGCTATGGCTGCAGTCTTATTTGAAGGTTCAGGTGAAGGATCTACTTCTAAGCTCACTCACATGGTAGCTCAAAGGCCACAGTTTCTTGCTGGCTGTTGGCCATGAGCTTCAGTTACTTACTACATGGAACTCTCCATACGCTAAGTGTCCTCACAATACGGCAACTGGCTTCCCAAAGGTCAAGTAATTCAAGAGAGCACATGCCTATGCAGAAGCCACAGTCTTTTCATAACCCAATCTTTTAAGTGACATGGCCTCACTTCTATCATATTCTATCAGAAATGAGTCAAATTATTATTTTCCTGCTGAAACAATTGACATTTCCATCCATTTCTGGAATGGTCACACTTTCTGAAACATTTTTATAATATCTACTTTAAAGTCTTTCTCATAATTCCAGCATCTGTGTAGCCTTGGGGTTACTGTCTGTTGTGTCTTTCCTTTGAATTGTTGAACATTTCCTGATTCATGTATTTCGTGTGATTCCGCCTTGCATCTCAGACGTTTTGAATATTATGAGCCTCTGGGTATTTAATTCTTCTGGAGAATGTTGGGATATTTTTTCCAGCAGTCAATTTAACTGCTTGGTCTTGGTCACCCAGTTTTCTAAGTATTTTCAGTGCTATTTGGATCTGTCTTACATGCCCAATGTCAGACCTGAACAACTATCAGGTCAGACCTACACATAAATGGAACAGATCACATAAACAACTGTATGAGATCACTTTCTTGAGCTTCCTTATCTTTCACCACCTTGATGCCTTCCAGATCTCAGGAGCCACTTCCTCTTCCTGGTCTTCAAATTAGAAACCCAGGGGTTTAGTTTCTCCTCTCTGCTAATACACCTCATGGATACATCACCTCCAGGTCCAAGTAGCAGGAAGATAGTGAGGGAAGAAAAGCAATGGTTATTCTCCAAACCCTTTTTGGCCCACAGATCCTCTAACCAGAGTGGAGGGTTCCTAACTCGGAGGTGTAGATGCCTACTCAGCCATCACTGTCCTCACCACAAGAATGCCCCGGAGTGCCACAATGATCTTGTTTCAAATTATAGCTTGTTACCATTACTTTTGAGGGTTTCTAGACAGCTGCTCCATGCATGTTACATTTAGCATGAAAGATAAAGTGGGGCATGCTCATTCCATTTAAAGTGGAACCAGTACCACCCAAAGTTACTTTCTTTCCATTGATTACATCCCTGGAAGATAAACTCTCAAACAGGAACTTCCTAAGAATATAAACAGAGAATTCTGATTGAAAGATTAATATTCATTACTTTATCCAATCAATTTTTGCATTTTTATTAAAATTTACACATACAGAAAATTTTTTTAAATGACCAATGAACATCTCTACATCCACCACAAAAACAGTTGACTAATTTTGTATATATTTATTTGAAAATATGCTGCAGACGTGATGTTTCAAACCTAAAAAAACTTCTGCATGCATCTCCTAAGAATTAGAACATTATCCTATATAACTCAATTATCACTTCTAGAAAAATCAGACATACCACATTTTCTAATACCCATTCCATCTTCGTATTTCCCCAAATATCCCCCCACATGTCTTTTATAGGTTTTTTTTTTTTTTTTTTTTTAAAGAATCAGAAGCTAATAAAGGACCACACTTTCCATTTGGTTATGTCTCTTGTCTTAATTTAGAAGAGATCACTTTTTGTTTTATTACATTTGCTTTTAGAAAAGTTTAGACCAGTTGTTCTGTACCAACTCTGGACTTCTCTATTTCCATACTGTGTAATTTAACTTGTTCCTCTATTCCTTGTATTTCTTTAAACAGCAAGGTAAGTCTAGATAAGAGATTTAATTAAATTTGGGGTAAACATTTTTGGCAGTACATCAAGGATGATCACATATGCTTCATACTGAATCCCATCAGGAGCCACATAATGTTGGCTTATTCCAGGAGTGAAATGCAGTTTGACAGCCAAATCTCATTGTAAAGGCAATTCTTTTGCAATAGCTATCTGTGATCTTCTGAAACTTTTTTCACCTAATGGGTTTTACCATACCTTTTGGCCAGATTTAATTACATTAAAGGTTGTAAAAAAATTTTTTCAAATCTATCATTCTGTGTACATTTTAAAGAAGACATACTTCAAATAATTTTATAAGTTTTTTTCTCTACTTTCATCATTATGCACTTATTTTCCTTCTTAATATTATTAGCAATATCAGTGATTATTCTTTTTTTAAGTTGTCCTATATTTGGCCAGTTGGCACCTATCCCTTCTGACATTACATCATTAGTCTTCAAATACTATCTTGCTTTTTATTTTCTTAATAAAAAAATTTTAGTCACACCACCCACTTCCCCTGCTCCAAACATGGAATCAGCTATTTCTCCAAGGAACCCTGGTTCCTTTTAGTGGGGAATGGCCCTTAGAAACCAAAATTTGGATACTAAGCAAGTGCACCACTATTGGGTACAATGTTAAATATTGAGGTCTGTTTAAACACCTCATTTTCTTTGTAATGTATTTAAATACATAAAACAATTACTTTCTGATAAGCTAAAACCAGTCAATTAAGAAATATACTATACTGAATGCTTGAGTTTAATTCTGTATCTTTCTCAGAAGGTCTAGCTAATTGTATTAGAATCATTTTTTTTTTTTTAATGATACCAACTGTTAATTGAAGGAAAGTCAAATATAAAATTGGAGGAAAAAGGCTTGGAGGGGAATTAAACATTTAAAATGATGAAAAGAATGCTTAATAATAAATTCTTCATATATAACTTTACACAAAATAATTCCTAAAATATGTGTAATAAGAAGGCAACCTTATAGGTAAAGCCTCCAAAAACACACTATCTGGAGCTCAGCTAGCTTTAAGGATTTAAGTACAATTATAATAAAAGCAAGCATAATTAGGGACTCATAAGAAAAAAGAATATAGTTGTGAGTCAATTATTAAGACTAAGGTGAGAGGAAACCCTTAAAGACAAAACAATAACTTTAAATTACTCCAACTATGTCTAACCAGGCTATAAAACAAATAGTTCTCTTGGAACCTCAGGTTGGAAATCAGCCTATAATTATCTCAAAACACCAGAACCGAATACCTAGATTCTAGTCTATTCATTAAGTTCAAATGCTTCATTTAGTACAATGAAAGGTTGTAATTAAATGAAATCTCTCCTGGCTCTAATGAGCGACCAGACACATAGCCTGAGAGTCTGCCAAATATATACCTTCTGCAACAGATAACAAAGTATGTGCATGCCAGTCTTTCCAACTGCTTCAGTTAATGCACCTTCTATGGTACTATAATAGTACTCTGTTCAGTTATATAAAACCACATCAAATTAAGAAATAACAGAAGAAAGTAAAAGAAACAGAGTCTACCTTTGGGCATAATTCTAAGAACTAAATTCTAAATTAATAAAACTACATTCTTTAATAATAAAGGACTTTTGAAAAAATGTTTCCCAAAGCTGTATGTGTATGTGTATCTACACACACACACACACACACACACACACGTGTGTATGTTTGTTTACACATATAAGTTGCTGGTGGGAATGCTCATTAAAAACAGCATTATTATTTCCACATAAAGAGTTAAATTTAAAGAAGTTTCTTTTTATGTTTAGCTTCTCTTTATGAAAAGGAGCACTTCCTACGTTGGCCCACAACTTTAAAAAAGGCCGTGCACTTATTCACATTATTAATAACTCAGTGACTGGTTTTTGTTTTTGTTTTTGTTTTTGAGATGGAGTTTCGCTCTCGTTACCCAGGCTGGAGTGCAATGGCGCGATCTCAGCTCACCGCAACCTCCGCCTCCTGGGTTCAGGCAATTCTCCTGCCTCAGCCTCCTGAGTAGCTGGGATTACAGGCACGCGCCACCATGCCCAGCTAGTTTTTTGTATTTTTAGTAGAGACGGGGTTTCACCATGTTGACCAGGATGGTCTCGATCTCTTGACCTTGTGGTCCACCCGCCTCGGCCTCCCAAAGTGCTGGGATTACAGGCTTGAGCCACCGCGCCCGGCAGTGACTGTTTTTAAAAGAAATTTCACATATTGAAGCTTACTCTTATAAAGGGAATATGGTCTTATGAGATAAACAATAGGTATATTCAACTATTTTTCATGACTTTTTAAAAAGTTCGGCCTTTTACATTTTTTCTATGAATTAAAAAAATATTTGTAAGATTTTAGAAACCTTAGAATTTATGGTTCTTTTAAAAATTTTTTTTTTAACCCCATCAAAACTGGCAAGCATGGCCATCAACCACAATATGGTTCTTTTAAAACTTAACAAGTCAGTGCTTTTCATGATTTCACTAATCAATTTTACCATTACTTAGTGGCAACTAACATGGAAGTAAAAACGACTTAAATCTATTAGGAGTTTGTACCTTACTTATTCTTCTCCTCATTCCCCAATGAGAAGCCCTGGATTATCTGAGAGAGGAACTAAGCCTCATAGGCCTTATCTCCTCTAAGAAATCTCTGATACTGAGTAAGTGAGGAGCTGCAGATGGAAGGTTTCTCATATTCCTTCCATTTATAGAGTTTCTCTTTAGTGTGAACTTTTTTGTGTCTACAAAGGTTTGATCTGTAACTGTAGGCTTTCCCACATTCCATACATTTATACAGTTTCTCTCCAGTATGGATCCTCTCATGTTCAGTTAAAAATGAATACTGGCTGAAGGCCTTTCCACACTGATTACACTGATACGGTTTCTCTCCGGTATGAATTCTCTGATGCCTATAAAGGTTAGATTTGCAACCAAAGGCTTTCCCACATTCCTCACATGTATAAAGTTTTTCCCCAGTATGAATTTTTCGATGTTCATTAAAGGATGAATACTGGTTGAAGGCTTTCTCACATTCATTGCATTGATAAGGTTTTTGTCCAGTGTGAATCCGCTCATGTTCGATAAGGGTTGCAATACGTGTGAAGGTTCTCCCACATTCCAGGCATTTATACAGTTGTTCTCCAGAATGAAATCTCTGATGTTCAGCTAGAGATGTAAACTGGCTGTAACCTTTCCCACATTCGCTACATTTGTAGGGTTTCTCGCCTGTATGGATTCTTTGATGCCTGTGAAGTTTTGCTCTACAGTTGAAGGCCTTCTCACATTCACCACATTTATAGAGTTTCTCTCCAGTATGAATTCTCTGATGTACAGTGAGGGTTGAACACTGGCTAAAGGCTTTACCACATTGTCTACAATGATACGGTTTCTCTCCAGTATGTACTCTCAGATGTTTAATGAGGGTTGAACTGTTGCTAAATGCTTTCTCACATTCATTACACTTGTAAGGTTTCTCTCCAGTATGAATTCTCTGATGAGAAAGAAGGGATGATCTGTGGCTGAAGGTTTTTTCACACTCATTACATTTGTAGGGTTTCTCACCTGTATGAATTCTCTGGTGTTCAATAAGATGAAGATTCTGCTTGAAGCTCTTCCCACATTCATTACAGATGTGAGGTTTTCCTCCTGGGTAAATTTGGAAGCATTTCATGAGATCAATATTCTGTTTAAAATCTTTCCCAAATGTATAATACATATTGGGTATCCTTTCTACAGGAACACCCTGTTGTGTAACAAGAGCTGTATTTATAAGTAAGTTTTTCTCCAATTCAAGACTTGTATGGTTTCCATCTTCACTGACGGTCTTCTCATGCGAGACTATCATTCGCCTAAGAGGTTTCTTTTCTTGCTCCTCTTCTATCCTGCTCTCGAATTCCACAGCTTCTTCAAAGTTAATGTCCCACTGACCAAACTTAATGAATTCTTTCTTCATCATTCCCTGCAATGTTTCTTCTATAGAAATATCCTGCCGATGAGGCAATGCTTCTGTTTCAGGCCAAGTCTTGAAACCTAAAATGCATCAGAAGAATTAATGCCTCCTCTGCTGGAAGAAACAAACTGATGTGTCAGTGGGCCAATAAAACTGGTAACAGTATATATAAAAGAAAAGTGATATAATCAGATCTCGAATGCTGACTTGCATCTTGGGAAGAACAGGATGGGATATAGGAAAGAGGGGTAAACAGGTTAAGGAGTGGGATGGGAGGGTACACTGGACAAATTAGCCATGAAAATGAAGAGATTACACCCAGGGTGTAGTAAAGTTAGACACAGAAGAACAGGCTGAGTAGAAGATATGAGGACAAAGAAAAATGTCAAATGATAAGCCCAAGCTGAATACCATGGAATACTCCATTCTATCATCACTTTCCACTCTGCATATACCAGGCAGTGAGGCAGGCAGCTTGTCTACTTTCTCCTTCTTACTCATATGTCCCTTTTACTATATTTTCTCTCCATGCTCTCTCTGAAACTCTATACCCAATAATTTTTTAAATATTTGAATTGGTTTCCTTAAATTTCTTTATTTCATGTGACTGTGATTTTATATCATAGTCTGCAAAGGGGGAAACAGTCTGTTAAAAAGAGGACAGGCTGGGTGCGGTGGCTCACACCTGTAATCCCGGCACTTTGGGAGGCTGAAACAGGCAGATCGCTTGAGCTCAGGAGTTTGAGACCAGCCTGGACAACATGGCAAAACCCCATCTCTATAAAAAATACAAAATATTAGCTAGGCATGGTGGCACATACCTGTAGTCCCAGCTACTCAGGAGGCTGAGGAGAATCGCTTGAGCCTGGGAGGCAGAGAGTGCAGTGAACTGTGATCACACCACTGCACTCCAGCCTGGGTGACAGGGACTTATCTCAAAAAAAAAAAAAAAAAAAAAAGGGAGGCGGGGGACATTCAGGTTTTGAAAATTACAACCGCCCTGCAGCATGACCGTGATGATTATATGTGATTTAAGTTTAGGAGCCTTGCTCTGTTGACAGGCTAGAGTGCAATGGTGTGATCTCAGCTCACTGCAACCTCTGCCTCCCCAGCTCAAGTGATTCTCCTGCCTCATCCTCCCAAGTAGCTGGGATTACAGGTGTGCACCACCATACCCAGCTAATTCTTGTATTTTTAGTAGAGATGGGGTTTCACCATGTTGGCCAGGATGATCTCAATCTCCTGACCTCATGTTCCACCCACCTCAGCCTCCCAAAGTGCTGGGATTATAGGCATGAGCCACTGCGTCCAACCTATATTACCTTTCTTTCTATTTTCCCCTTTTTATTTTAACACAAAGAGGGACATATTCATTTTATCTAATAAACTGCAACCAAAAAACTGCACTGTCTTTGTAAGAATCTCTTGAGAATAATGAAAATCTGCAGGAGATTTGAAGTCGATATGTCTTAAAGTCCTGAAATATGCCCAAGCCCCAAGCTCCAAGCTCAGCTTTGATTCTCAGTGAACTATTCTCTGTTGCAACCTGATTTCTTTTCCTCAATCCATGATAGAAAACAGGTTAAAATTAGATAATTACAACTAGGTAATTGTGTGTCCTTTAACCTCTACAACTCAAATAAAATGCAATTAACCCTGAGCATCTAAGTATGGCTCCGTATTTCCAAGATTTTCCCAAGAACTGCCTCTTTGTGACCTGCTCATCTATAAAGACTCTCTTGTGCCCATTTCCCAGCCTCTCACTTACCTAGACAGGTATCAGAAGGGACTTCTCCTTCCACCATGCAGGGATCTTGTCCTTGCTGCAACTGATGAATCACCTTTGGCATTGAAAATGGAATCCCTGCTCATGAGGAAGGAAACGAAGTTTGAACAAACAGCATGAAGAGCAATCCAAGAACTCACAGACCACTCACTCTGAACTTACACAGCAAAGCAAGCAAGCCCTGAGAGGCAGAGAAGGCAGCACAAGCACTTCTCAGGGGTCCTGGAGCTGCCAATGGCTGAGGAAGGTCTCAATTCTGAAACATTATAGGGCCCTGGCAATGGATGCCTCTAAGATGGGGGGTTCCTAAGTTCTTCTCAGAATCTAAAGTGGGATCTAGTCATTGGCCGACTCCAAGGAGGAAACTTTGATTGGTGGTGGAATGTGAGGGACAACAGAGGAAGGACAAATAGCAAGAAGGACGTCACAACAAAAATGTACAGTTTCAACTCTACAGCAATTCAACCTTTCCCAGGGGCTCAATATGGTAAAAAAACAAAACAAAAAAAAAAACAAACTACAGGCTCGGAACTCCAAAGACAGACCTTTGAGGCGTTCCTCAGGTTTTCATTATAGGCAGTAATTCTTACCCAGTGAGACCAGAGTGCTGTAGTTCTCCAACATCACCTCCCGGTACAAGGCTCTCTGGGCAGAGTCCAGGTGCAACCACTCATCCTGGCTGAAGAACACAGCCACATCCCTGAATGTCATGGACTCCTGTAACGGCAAACCCATTCCTGTTCATCCAGGACCATCTTCTTCAATGGAAGACGCAGTAAGAAAGTGACACTGGGATGTATAGCAAGCAATTCAGAAAATCTCAGGATTCTAAGTATTTCACATCAACCATTTATGTACTTTTTGGAATCACCCATTAACTGTTTTAACAAGTATTTATTAAGTACTCATTGGGAACAATGACACATGCCACATGCAGTGGGAGTAGGGAAATAAGGCCAAGTCCCTGCCAACAAAGAATTTAAATACCAGCCTGGGATCTTCCTCAAGAGAAGGCAATGTGACGACAGAAGCAAAGATTGGAGTGCTATGCTTGGAAGATGGAAGAACCACAAGCTAAGGGCTACAGGCAAACACCAGAAGGTGGAAAGGGCGAGGAATCAGATTTTCCCCTGACAGTCTCTAGAAGGAACCAGCCCTGTTGACAGCCTGACCTCAAGCCAGGAAAACTGATTTCAGACTTCTGACTTCCAGAACTGTAAAAGAATACATTTACATTGTTTTAAGATGCTGAGTTGGTGGTAATTTGTTACAGCAGCAATAAGAAAGAAATACAATGTGAACAATTCAAGACGACCTACATATCTATCAATAAGGAAATGGATAAGCAGATTACAGTACGTTTATTCCATGAAATGTTATGCAGCCTTTAATAGAATTAAGTAGATCTGTGTGACACTGGAATTTGATCTTGACATATTGTTGATTCATATGAAAAAGTCAGCCACAAAACGATCTATATTTGTTGAAAATTCTACATCTGTATATACGTATGTATGATGCATACAAAACTCTCTGGAAGAATACAAGCTGTCACCCTCATTATTCTTTGATATTTGTGGAGAGGGGCAGAAAAACAATCTTTCACTTATTACTTTATACCCCACCATTAGGCTTACAGTGTTTTACAGTTAGGGACATTGTGTGTATGTATGTGTGTGTCTTCCTTTGCTTTGAATTTTCTTAGATTCCACTTTAACTTACACATTGACTTTTTAGTTAGACCTCTTTGCATTTTTAGTGTTACTCTAATAATTATAATAGTTTCGGTTACTCATCATCTATTTAGAGCTAATATATCATTTCACATTGAATGCAAGAACCTTGCAAGTATCACCACCAGCCTTCTTTATGCTACAGTTGTTACAAAGATTTTTCCCACTTCATAGAGTTGACATTACTTAACCAAATTTCACTGAGCATATTCATGTTAAGATTTACATTTAAAGGCAAAGGGTACAACACAGCAAGAGAAAGAGAGTCCAGGGAAGCACTAGAAAGCCAAGAGATACTCCATGTGCAGTCTCCCTTTATTTACACAGACCACACTACATCTCTGGATCTGTGTGAAGAATCTTGGTGTGGGAGATCTCAAAGGAGGAACTCTTAGCAGGGGCTTTCTATGTAATCAAGCAAGCCCGTGTCAAATCATTTAGGCCAGTTGCAAGCCATCAGTAAGGAAGCTTAAGGGAGTAGCCAGTGGCATTGGGATCTTAAAAATACACAAGCCAGGCAGGGTGCAGTGGCTCATGCTTATAATCCCAGCACTTTGGGAGGCGGAGGCAGGGGGATCACCTAAGGTCAAGAGTTCGAGACCTGCCTGGCCACCAGGGTGAAACCCCATCTCTACTTAAAAAAAAAAAAAAAAAAAAAAAAAGGTACAAAAATTAGCTGGGTGTGATGGCGGGTACCTGTAATCCCAGCTACTTGGGAGGCTGAAGCAGGAGAATTGCTTGAACCTGGAAGGCAGAGGTTGCAGCAAGCCAAGATTACACCACTGCACTCCAGCCTAGGTGGCAGTGGGATACTTGGTCTCAAAAAACAAAGAACAATAACAAAAAAAAACCCACACAAGCTGATGGCCAGGTTCACACCTATAACCCTAGCACTTTGGGAACCCAAGCTGGGTGGACTGTCTGAGCTCAGGAGTTCAAGAACAGCCTTGGCAACACGGTGAAACCCCATCTCTACTAAAAATACAAAAAATTAGCCAGGCGTGTTTGCATGTGCCTGTAGTTCCAGATACTCAGGAGGCTGAGGCATGAGAATTGTTTGTACCCAGGGAAGCTGTAGTGAGCCAAGATCACACCAGTTCACTCCAGCCTGGGCAACAGAGGGAGACTCTGTCTCAAAAAAAAAAAAAAAAAAAAAAAAATCCAAGAATCCTCATTGATAAAAATAGAGCTTTTCCAGAGAAAAAGAGAGAGCTTTCCCAGTCCAGGTATGTATGTATGTATGTATGCTGCACACAAAACTTTTACGTTATGTTTACATTACCAGATGTAAATAAATTCTATCTTCACAGTTGTTATTTGCACACTACCTATGTTGTAAACCCTCTACTATAATACAATAGTATTATTTTACTTTAAGCAGTCAGCTGCATTTTAAAGAAGTTGAGAGGAAACAAATGTATTTTATATTTATCCAGATAGTTACCATTTCTAATGGTCTTCATTCTTCCTAAAATCAGAGTTCCCATCTGGTATATTTTTCCTTTAACTTGTCGTAACTTCCTTTAGCATATCTTGTAGTGCAGGCCTGTTGGCAATGAATTCGCTTAATTTTGTCTTACTTGAAAATGCCGTTACTTCGTCTTCATTCTTGAAGAGTATTTTCATTGGATGTAGAATTCTGGGTTGAATTTTTTTTTCTCTTTCAGCATGTAAAACGTCATTCTATTGCTTCCCAGTCTTCATTGTTTCTGATGAGAAGCCATTGGTCATTCAAATATTGATTCTCTGCATGTAATACAATGTTTTTTTCTGCCTGCTTTCAAATCTTTGGTTTTTGTGATTTCTCTGACTTTTGTCAATATGGTAAAGACCAGCTAGCTGCATGTGGCTATTGAATACGTGAAATGTGGTTCTTCTGAATTAGAGATATGTTATCTGTATAAAATACATACCAGATGATTTACTTAAAAGTATATAAACACACAGACAACATATACATACACACGCAAACATATATGAAAGTTATCTCAATAACAATTTTATATTGATTACCTGTGGAAATAATATTTGGATATACTGGGTCAAATACAATACATTATTAAAGTTAATTTACTTGCTTCTGTTTAGTTTTTTACTGTGGCTGGTGGAAAATTTTATATTAGGTTTGTGGCTTGCATTCCTGGTTCACACTATATTTCTACTGCATGCCACGGGTCGATGACGTGTGTAGCTACGACTTCCTTTGTATTTACCCTGCTTGAGATTCATCAAATGTTATAAATTGTAAATTTATGTTTTTTACCAAATTTGAGAAACTTTAGGTCATTATTTCCTTTTAATATATTTTGCCCCTCTCCTGTCTCTGTCCCCTCTCCTTCTAGAACTCTAATTTCATGTATACTAGATCTTTTAATATCATTCAGTTGGTAACTGAGGCTCTTTTTTCTCTGTTTTTCAGATAGGATCATTTCTGTCAATCTATCTTCAAGTGTCACTGACTTCTCCTTATGTTCATTTCCAAAAGTTAAGCCTATACAGGGATTTTTTTTTAATTTTACAATTTCAGGTATTTTATTTTTCAGTTCTAAAATTTCATAGTCTAGAATTACTTTTTTTCACAGTCTCTATTTCTCTGCTTGCATTTTGTATTGTTTCATTCTTTACATGTATATTTTACACTAAGTTCTTGAGCACAGTTATAATAGCCATTTTAAAATCTTTATCTGTGAATCCCAACATCTGGGTCGTCTGAGTCATGGTTTCTATTATCTTCCCTTTGATTTTTGGTTGCACTTTCCCATTTCTACATATGCCTACCTCATTCTGGACGTTGTATAGTACACAATGTAGAAACTCTGGATTTTGTTAGGTTCCTTTGAAGAGTACTGATTTTTTTAAGCAGGTAGTCAATTTTGTTGGACTTAAATTCCAAACTCGGACACCCACCTCTCTAGTGGGCAGCATTGAATATCTCGGTTCAATTCCTATTTGGGCTACTCTGAGTAGGTCCTGTGCACGTATGGGTCAGGGGTCAACTAGAGATTTAGGCAGAGGTTGTGCACAGAATTTGGGGCTCCCCTCCTCTGCCTCTCTCCTTTCCAAAACTCCTCCTCTCACGTTCCAATTGCTAAGTTTGCTTCAAACTCTATCTCGTGATTCTTCACACCAGTAAGACTGCAGGTTTGTGACCAAGTTTTGATCATTCTGTTGGGGCTGACTGTGGCCTACTCCCAGGCAAAAAGCTGTAAAAACCGGAAAGTTTATCTGGTGACAATTCCTGCTTTCAAACATACACAGGTGTCCAGTATCTGTCTGCTTCTGATTTCTCTCTAGTACCTTAGGTTTCTTATATTTTATCCAGAGTGTAGCAGTAATCCACAGATGAATTAGTCTGTAAGGAGCTATTTCTTTATTACTGGAAGCTGGAAGCCCATGCATTTTCTTGAAAATATATTTTAAAAACTCAGTGAGCCTAACAAAGCTCATTAAATATTAAGAAATAATAAAGACAGACTCCTAGAACTACAGATCTCATCAATCATCTCATCCAGTTGTTCTCATGGGTGTGTGGTATCTTCTCTTACCTCCCCAGAGTAAGTAGAAATGTGTGAGGGTGTTTCATTTCTCATGGTGACTAAGGGGGTCCTACCGGGATTTAAAAAAAAAAGAGATCAAGGCTGCTAATCATCTGGAAATGGACAAGCAAGTACTGTATAATGAAAGATAGCTCCACCCAAAATGCTTATCATCTTTTCACTTAGAAACATTTGTTGTCTAAACTGTATTTTTAAAATGCAAGATGAGAATCTAGGTTGTGGCAGGTGGCTTTATAAGAAGTTTATAAGAAATGTGGTTTCTTAGGTTTCTAGCAATAAACTGACTTTGGCTTATTTACACAAAGGACCAGGTAGCTCCAGGAAAACTGATAGTCACAGAACTAGGCTTGGAAAATGAACAGAAACTAGGGCAGCAACATTCTGGACCATAGCCAGAATCACACTAGGAAACCAGACTTATGAGAAT